GGGGGGGGGGGGGTCCAGGAAAAGAAAAATAAAGAAAACTCTCGGGATGTCCTCGACCATTCTCACTTCAGACCACTAGCCTCATACTTGTACCCAGATTTGGATAATACCGTTCCAAGTCCCCTATGGACTTCAGCCTGGAAGGGCTCAAATGGTACCTGTTCCCCATCAATACTGATGTATCCCTCTTTCCGATCTTTGGGGATGATTCTGTAGCCGGTGACTTTCTGCACATTGACCTCGGGCCTATCGAAGAACGTGCCGTTTTCGACAGCCATAAACATCTGGATGGCAGCCCGTCGACTGATATCGCCGTTAGTGGTGACGAGATCGAGAAACCCGTCATTGGGAAGGGCGGTGGGGAAGAATATGGTATCTGCTGCCATATATGCCATGTTCCCCGCGTAGAAATTGCCTAGCTTGTCGTGCGGTACCATAGTCCAGTCGTCAGGAAGTGGATCTTTTACGGTACCATATCGTAGGGGCGGGAGGCCGACAGTGTCGGAAAATTCTTCATCGCGTAATTGGTCGAAGCTTTTTCTTTCTGATCCGGCGCGATAGTGATCTTTGATTAGTTCTTTATTATCGAGTTCAACTTTAACGGCCAAGTCGCAGGGATACACCGTCTTCCCAAAAAGTCGTACCAGGAATCCATATGTGAAGCGAGCTTGGCCCATCCACCGGATATGGTCTGTCCCAAGATCCGATTCAGCTACAATACCAAAAGACTGGGACAAAAATGACAGCGTGCGCCTATCGCCTTGAGTAATGGAGACTAAATCTAGAGGGGTTCTCAAGCCTTTGACAATGCACAGGGCAGCTAGACTGGCGCTGCCAGTCCCATTGAGGTTCCAGCTCATTGCGTTTCCTGTTCCGCAGGGTATGTGAGCGACCGCAATTTGTCGCAGGGCTTCGCTTGCATTTGGCTTCTTGGCTAGGCCATTGAATATCTCGTAGGGTGTACCATCTCCCGAACAAGCTACGATAACATCGTACGCATCAACATCAAGCTTCTCCACGAGGTCCACAGCGTGACCTCGGTAAGTGGTCGATTCGGCATCGACTTCGCACTTAGCCGCAGCAAATATTGGTTCCACGTGTTTATAGTAATGTTTTGCGGCGCGACCCTTTCCACCAAAGGGGTTGAGCAGGACTTTAATTCGTTTTTGCCGTTGCGCTTTGCCATAGGCCGAGTCGAGAAGTTTCTCAGTCCACGTTTCGGCTTTGGATTTGTGCTCGAGGCTGACCGGATAATACACGGAACTGAGAGCGACATCTGTTTTGGTAACGTGGTCCGCATATTTAATGGTGATGTAGTCGTGAGTAACTTCAGCCCAGAGGATATTGTAATACGGAATGGATCGCGAGGTCTCAGGCGCTTCTAAGTAACCTTTGAAGGTGGAGGAATAGGGTCAGACGCTAATATAAAACATATGCCGAATTGGAACGGGGTAAAATGAAAAAACCTAAGAAGGCCAACCACTTGGAAGAGAGTTAAATCGTACGAGGAATTGAAATACCACAACAACGGCGTTGTGACTTCGACTTCAGTCCCTTATCTAAAAAACAGAAACAATACCCGTAAGCCAAAGCTATCACGCGTAAAGATCGTGAGGATGG